AGTGCTTTTTGATTAATGTGTGGCAACTTAGGAGCAGCCTTTCTACTCATCCCCATGGCAGAGCAGGATAAAATGATCTGAAATACATACGTAAAAAATGCATGAGTTCTTTGGAGAAGGAAGAAAGAGGGCAGAAGCGGGGTTGCCCAGAGTGGTCCAGACAGCGGGGTTACAGGGTGTGCAAAGGCCCCTGTGTTACAGGGTGTGGCAGAAGAGAGGCAGAGGATATTGTGATGATCAGGAGAGCATACTGGGAACCTGAGGGGATAAGGCTGGGGAAGGGGCAGCCTGGCCAGAGTATCAGATGCTTGGCATGAAAATGGAGACCAGTTGAGTGTGTGCACGGAAGGAGTGCTGTCTAAGGATCCATTTTGGAAAGGGGAATATCTGGACCTGGCTGTGGGTCCTACCACCCCCGTAAACATAACCAGATGGTGTCTGGCAGCTTATGGCTGAGCAGAGCACTACTTTTGACCCAGGACACCTTGTGCTGAGTCAGTCCCCAGGGCCGCTGTCAGCCTGGCTGTGGGACAAAGAGGATGAGTCCAAATCAGGCTCTTAGCCCATCCAGGGTACGAGGACACATACTCAGGGTGAGATTCCTGATAGCTTTTCTGAAACAGCCTTGCTTTGCAAAGGTGCTGGTGGGGCCTAGAAAGCTGGGTCGTGATTGTCCGCTCCGGCTAGACATTGTATCTGCCCTCCAGAACTGCCGTCCATCCACCCTCCTGGAGCTCAGGTGTTATCAGGTTTGCTTCGTCTGTGTGCACGTGATGTCACTGCTTCAGAGGTTGGATGTATATACAGCATTTGCCTTCCTGTGTAAATGTACATCTGCCCAGCCCTGAAGGTTATTGTTGCAAACCCTGAGGCTGAGGATAACTGCCAGGTTCAGGTACATTTCTTGGCTTATTGTTTTGGTGAGCACATCCCTTTGTCCTGCAAAGAGGGCTGTCAGAGCAGATGACAGAGTGTTGGTGCTGAAGTGCTCCTAAGGAAGAGCTTAGTGCCCTCACCAGCACCTGGGAGTCAGGATAAGACAGGCTGTTGATGCTGGTCAGGGTCCTCAGCTACCAAGGTCTTCATCAGTACCATCATCCCCAGGAATGGTGGCGAAGTTCCCTGTGAGCTACCTCAGCTGGGTCTCTCTGACCCTCTGAACCACAATGACTTTCCCTGATGTGTTTGCTGAATGCAGAGGGGACAGGGTGAACTAATGATGTTCTGTGGTGCACTAACCGCAGCAAGTGTCTGAATGCCTCACCCCTCCAGTCAGTCAGGGTAACCTTGTTAAGGGACACCCATTCCCACTGCCGCAGCTGTCTAGAGAGAAAGACCACAGGTCTGTGTGCAATCACTGGGATTGGGCCAGGCCCTGGTAATGACAAGTAGCTTGGAACCCTACCTGCAACTGGTGCCCAGCCCCTGCTGCCTGTCCTTGAGCAAAGAACTGAAATTACTGATAACTCTCAGCAAGGCGCAGAAACATTTGGATCACCCTGGGGCAAAGGCCACAGTTGAGAGCTGTGATCAGGGTGGTACCTTTACCACACAGAAGGGCAGTATCTATCAACAGGATGCTCAGAGGAGGTAGCCTGGGACCCATTAGTCATCTGCAGAAAACCCAAGATGACTCAGTCCATTACACCAACCAATTCTAGACCCAGCAGTGTACTCTTCCCCTTATGTCCGACTCCTCAAGTTGCTTGGGGACAAGCTCCATGTCCTGCACAGCATCTCTAATAATGGCCTGGTATAAGTAGCTCAGGAGAACAGTATTATCATTGTCTTAAGCTATGCAGCCCTTTCCCCCAGGGATCCAGTAGCACTGTCCAGCTGGTGAAAATGTCACTTAGCCATCTAGATACAGTTCAGCCCCATGTGCGCATGCTCTGTAGGGTTATAAGTCCTGTGTTTGCTCTCCCACAGGGCATGGCCGCTTGGGGAGGTGGGACACAGGAGTTGACTGTGTTGCTGTCACAGGATGGGTGTTGGGCCGTAGGGAAGGCTCAGGACACCGCTCTGGGAGTGGGGAAGTGCAGTCTGAGGTGCAGGACCGCCAGAGCTGGCTCAGGGGTCCCCAGGCTTGCAAGGGCTTGCAATGAGGCTGAAACTGTGGGGTTCTCAGGCTCTTGGACACCCAGGCGCCACTGGAAGTCTTGGAAGATCTGAGAACAGAATCTGGGCCCATGAGCTGGATCTGGGCTGGGGTGGGGGGGGTGCGGGGGAGGAAGGGGGGATCAGGCTGGTCCTTTGGGGAGAGTCCTTGGCTTGAGCTGGTGGTGGTGTGACTGGGAGTGCAGAGAGGCCTTCTCCAGGAGCTTAGACGGCAGCTCTATAGGCTAAGTTCTTCTCTGTGGCTCCCCACAGTGGGTCCCAATGATGAGAGACAATCCATGGTTTTAAGGCATTTATTGTCATGGTGGAAAGCAGATGTGTAAAACCATACCCCACTTCTCAGGGTGGGCTTGAGGTTAAATACCTTTTGCAGAGAGGATGTCTGGGAAGGAAAGCTTATTGGCTAAGCCCTCCAGGCCTTTAGGTACCTCATTAAAATGGAGACCTGTCTTAAGCCTACGTGACCACAGGTCATGTCCTCTATGTGTGGAGGGGCTTTTGGTGTTGCCCTTACATGACTGATGACCACAAATCTATGGGATGCTATGCCTAGTGACAGGGGCCTGGTGCCCAGGAACAGGCAAAGCACCTACCGTTCCTTCAGGGGCTTCTAGCCTTTGCTCAGCCAGGCTACCCTTCATGGTCCCACACTGCCACATAGACCTGTCTGTACAGGTGGATCTCCTCTTTGTGCCTCTTAAGAGAATCCCAGAGGAGGGACATAAGAGGACATAGACAGTCTACCATGACTACCATGGGGCGTCTCCTGTTGTCAGAGTACAGCCATATGCTCAAGACCCTGCAAGCCTCCCAGGTGGTGGTGCATTGCACTCCTTGTATACCTGGCTTTGCTCTAGGGTAAGAACTGCAACAGGAAGACCACAGGGAATTCCTGAGTCCAGAGTTAGGTTCAAACACTGAGTCCAAGGCAGTCCAAATGGGAGCACTTCCTTAAACTGTACTTAAGTGAATTTCAAATAAAACTTATCTACCACACAGGGGTTAGGACAGGGTGGCCACAGAGGGGCCCAGTATAGATCATAAAAGCAATATAGATCTGGCTCCCTGTGTAGATATTGGAGCTGCACACGATGTCTTAAAGTTTAGCCTATTATAGTACATAGTTTCTCTGGGCATGGTGACATGTGAATTATAGACTGGAGGAGGAAGCCCCTGCCAGCATGGGCCTTGGTGCTTGTAGGTCACCATTGGTGTTTACCATGGTCTCGTAGGTGCAGGCTACCTCGTGGGCTGGGCTTAGGTTGAGGCAGGAACAGGCTGTGCAAGGATAAAGGTAAGAGACACATGCTCATAAACCCATTTCTGACAGTTCTCTAGGACAGTGTCTAGGAGTGGGAGGCATACGGCCTTATCTGAGGTTAGGCTTGAAAAGCAGCAGAGCTTAGGTGGAGACCTCAGGGATCCTGGGAAGGCAGCTAGAGCGGGGTGCAGAAGGCTGACTGCCATTAGAAGACACGGATAGGCTGTGAGGGAAGCTGCACTACAGCTGCACTGGGGCTCCAGAGAGGCCAGGGAGAGTGGTAGGAGCAGACTCAGGCTGGGCAGAACAATGGGACCCTAACCCTCCCCCCCCCCAAACCTCCCCAGCTACTGTGAAAGAAGAGGAAGGGAAAGAAGAAGCAATCTACCCATGTGAAAGGAAGATGGCACAGGCCAGACAGGACATTAAGAATGGCCTTGAGACTTTGCAGGTTAAGGCATCTTGTCAGGACTCTTGCCTCCCAAACACCATGGGAGGTCCCAGACTTCATGTTAGTCAGGTTGAGCAAGAATAGCTTGAGTGAAAGAAATAGTAGCCAGGCTGCCATGTGAAGGAGAGTGCAGGCCCAGGGGCTGCTCTTCACATGTCACCCTCACTTTGCATTGGATGAGTGGCTCCTCTGTTATGGCCAGGGCCCCCTTCCAAGGCCATGCACATGGCATATAGTATTGGGGTCTTAAGAGTTGCAGGCTTACTTTGCCTGCAGCTGGTTGCTGAGGGTGACTTAGCTAGTGGCTTCTGTAGGTACAGCTCACCAGCTTCTGCCCCCCACCCCCCGACCAAATATTCCTGCCAGTCTTTGTCTTGACCTTTCTCCCTAACTCAGATGTCCTGTTTCTGTCACCTGTTTCTGCTAGGATGTCTACTTAGCCCCTCAGTTATTTTCTGTTTCCGTCTGTGTGTTTCTCAGCTCTCCTGCAGGCAGAGCTGGGTAGAGCCCAGCTGCCTCAGCTGATGGTACGAGTGAAGTCCCAATGGGAACAGTTCTTAGTGCTGAACACTCCTCCTGAAGTGATAGCAGCGGCTGTGCTGTCGCCCCACAAACACACACTGAGCAGTTGGCATGGACACGCTGGCAGCCCTTGAGCACTGGGACTTCTGCAAGGAGGGCTCTCCAACATGGCCTCTGGGAAAGGCGCTGGGAGCTGTAGAGACTGGTCAGCATTCTGTCCTAAGTGTTTCTCAGTGCTGTGCCAGGTGTCTTGACTTCACATTACTTGTTAGAGTTGCGGGTAGGGCCAGTCACATAAGTCAGGACACATGGGAAGGTAGCACCTAGAATTGAGGGTCGTGAATTTGAAGAAACCCTGCCCTATACCTACTGACTCTTCCATCCACCTCGGACCTGCTTCCTTTCCAAGAACGAGAAGCGCCTGGTGTCCTGTGTTGGGTGCCACTCCTGCCCTCAGCTGGTTCTCACATAGATCTGACATGTGAGAGATGAGTTACGGGCCTGCACCTCAGCAATCAGAAGAGCTTCCTGGGGCCCCAGGACCTCACCTGCTCCCCACACATTTCTGTGATATGTACCCGAAGCCCCACCTCCTCTCAACCCTCGTGCTCTAAACAGTGACCAGAGTTTTATGTTTCCTACAGGTCACCTGGATGTCAGCATGGCAGCCACAAACCTGGAGAACCAGCTGCACAGTGCGCAGAAGAACCTGCTCTTCCTCCAGCGGGAGCATGCCAGCACACTCAAGGGGCTCCACGCTGAGATCCGGCGGCTGCAGCAGCACTGCACAGGTGGGTAGAGCCTGATGCCTGCTGAGGCAGAACCACTGTGAGGATGTGGAGTTGGGTCAGCTGCTGCACCAGGCCACTCCCCAGGCTGACATGTCCACATGATTAATCCTTTGTGGCCCCCACACCCGCGAGTGACAACACTCCACACAGTGTCGGGGAAGCACTGAGCACACAGCTGCCAGCCTTGCCCTAGATCAGCAGGTGCCTGCGGTACTCGGCCACAGTGCAGTCTGCAGTTCGTGAGGCAGCTGCTCACTGACTTTGTACTGTTGGGGTACAGTCAGGGAAGATAAGGCACACATCCTCCCCCAAGCCTTGATAGGAACCTTGACCTCTAGTGTTTCTTACATTGATCCCTGGAGCTGCCACCCCTGCTTCTACAGGGTAACTCACTCACTGGGATTTGGTGCTTGTTTTTAGACCTGACGGGAAGTGCACCTGGATAATCAATGTGTCCTGTTTCCTTTGTAGATCTAACATATGAGCTGACACTCAAAAGTTTCGAACTGACAGGTAAGAACTCCTCCCCAGATGTGGTCGCATCTTGTTTTCTTCGTAATCTATTCCCTCTGGTCACATGCTTGGGGTCCTTTCTGCAATGACACTGGTTGCCCTGAGCAAAGACAAGGGAGTTTAGAGCCCAAAGTCACCATAGGCTGGAGTGGTGCATGGCTTTTTCACTTCCCATTGCCTAGAATGTCTATTATGTTTTTCCAGAATTTTCTAACTTTTCTACCGTGAATGTATATCCTTCCATGATCTAGAAATAAACTTCAAAGTGACTCGAGCCAGAAAGGAAAAAATTGAGAACGAGGCAGAAAGCCCTACATGGCTTTTGGGCCAAGTCTGTGCTAAACTCTGGAGCCATGTGCTCCATTATAGGGAGGGCAGTGGCCCTCATTCATGGCCCAGAGCGTATCTGGACTGCAGCCTAGATACACTTCCCTAGTGAGACCCATCAGGGGGCCAAAACAATGGCAGCCAGAAAAATGACAGAGACAAGGTCTTCCAGGAGCTCTGAGCCTGTGAAAAAGCCATGTTCCTTAACACAGGGCTGGCTTTGAGGATGGAGACCATGTGTCTGGGGGAGACCTTTCCCTAACTAAGTGTGTGCCCTGTGAGAGTCCAGTCCTTGTCGATGTCTCAGTGTCACTGAGCAATTGTTACTCTGGCCCATCCCCTGGGCACACCTGTCATGGTTTGTCTGGGTGAGTGCAGAGGGCCCTTGGAGCAGGAGCCTGTCCGCAAAAGTCTCTAAGGTCAATACCATCCCCACCCACCCTCTCCTCATGCTTGTGTATACACACGCACACACACACACACACACACACACACCCCAGAGGAGCTGCCCATACCATAGGAACCAGAGCCGCACACCACCTGCTTTTGCCATGACTAGCCTACACCAGTTCTCAAGCCCCCTCAGCACCCTTTTAGGACACACTCAGTAGCAAATGGCTTTTGTCAAAGGTGTATCAGGTGCTGTCTCAGCAGAGGGAGCTGTTTGGAAAACCTCTGGGTGGGTTTTATGGGGCCATGTACACTTCCCTGGAGTGAAGCTGTCACTCAGTTCAGTGCACATTAGACACCAGCTCGGAAGGCAGGTTAGAAAGAATTCCGAGTCTCTCCCCTGAAGGCCGTGATGCCTGCAGTCAGGAGAGGCCTGGGGTCTACACACCTGAGTACCCAGTGACACACACAGGCTCAAGCAGTCCTGCTCCATAATGGAACATGAGAAGTTTCTAGAGATATGTGTAGAGGACCAGGGGTACCAGAGCCTCCCAAGTAGTACCTGCCAGATCCGGGCCAAGTCTGCAGGAGGTTTGCTAGGCCATTTTCAGGGCAGGACAGTGTTTGCCCAAGCCTCGTAGGGACGGGAGGTTGAAAGAGCACCTACCTTACTGAGGAGCCCCGGATTGCATGTGCTCTGATAATGTCTGGTATGGCTCTGAACAGTGACTGTCAAGGACTGTGTCCTTCACCAGCACCAAGCAGTCTGCTTTACTGTCTCAGGGCCACCCTCCCTCTTAGTACTCCCTGAGGACACAGAGTGTCTGTGTCTGGGATGCAGTCAAAGGTCTGAGATTGTAGACCTGCCGTGCTTGTAGGTAGTGCTGACTGCTGCGAGGGGTTCCACATTCTACTTCAGAAGCGAGTATATTACTGCAGGGGTTGGTTTTGTTTTTGTTTTGATGTTTTGTTTTTGTTAAAACCACAAGACTCATATATAATACTCAGATATAATACTGCATCATTTCTAGTGCTACCATTTGCTGATTCAGTCTCTCTCTATACACACACACACACACACACACAGAGGTCTCTGTTCACCTGCAGTGAGCCTGCACTGTACACTTGTCCTTGAGTGTCTGAGGCTGCCGGCTTATGTCGGAGGGGAATGCCAAGACACAGCAGGCTTGGGAACCACAAGATTCGAGAGGTACGGTATGCTCCCAGCACCCACAGGGCTATCTGCAGATTTTGGGTGCACAGATCTGGAGTTAAATCAACTCTAGTGATCACAACCCAGAAAAAACAAGGAGGATCAGGGTTCTTGTGGGTGCAGAAGGCGTGAACAGATGGACTGTCAGACTGGCAGGTTGTTAGGCCAAGGGAGGAAGAGGGAAGCAGGCCTGAGAGAGGTGGTAGTACAGTGAGACGTGGGGCCAGACAGGTCAGAGAGGAAAGTAGGCTGCCAGCGAGGAAGCATAGAGGGAAAGTTGTAGTTTGGGGCAACTGGGAGAAGAAAAGTGGCAGAAGAGCAGGGTCTAGGCCTGAGGGACATGTCTGATGCCCTTCACTTGTAGAGCTGGCACTCCAGAGACGCTGACTCCAGCTGACGCTCAAGCTGTTTTAACTTCAGCACCTTCAGATTCTGGAGACGTTCTTTTACGCAGTAAGCCAGGGAACCAGGAGCTGGGAGGGGCCTCAGAGACCCCCTGATCCGCCTTTAGTGGGAGCAGGGCCTGCAGGCCATCCTGCACCCCGCCTACCATAGGGCTTCTCGTCAGGGCCCTCCACACAGGCCGTGAGCATCTCCGTCCTGCACTAGACTCTGACCTGGCCCCTGATTGTTCCTGCAGGGGACGGCTCTTCCAGGACGACGGAGCTCAAGAGGCGCTGTGAAGAGCTGGAAGCCCAGCTGAAGGCCAAAGAGGAGGAAAACCGCAAGCTGCTGCAAGAGCTGGAGCAGAAGAATGCCGCCATCGCTGTGCTGGAGAACACGGTCCGGGAGAGAGAGAAGAAGTACCTGGAGGAGCTGAAAGTGAAGAGCCACAAGCTGAGCATGCTGTCGGGCGAGCTGGAGCAGCGCGCCAGCACCGTGGCCTACCTCACCTCACAGCTACATGCAGCCAAGAAGAAGTTGCTGAGCTCCAGTGGCACCTCAGATGCCAGCCCGGCGGGCAGCCCTGCACTGGCCAGCTACAAGCCCACACCACCCAAGGACAAGCTGCCCGAGACGCCCCGACGCCGCATGAAGAAGAGTCTGTCAGCCCCGCTGCACCCCGAGTTTGAGGAGGTCTACAGGTTTGGAGCCGAGAGCCGCAAACTCCTCCTCCGGGAGCCTGTGGATGCCATGCCCGACCCCACCCCATTCCTGCTGGCCCGGGAGTCTGCTGAGGTCCAGCTCAAGGAACGGCCTCTTGTCATCCCCCCCATTGTCTCCGACCGTGGCGCCAGTGGGCAGCATAGTCCAGCCCGAGACAAGCCACACAAGACGCATGTTGGGGTGGCTCACCGCATCCATCACGGCCAGCCTGAGGGAGAGACGAGGGCCGTGGACCAGGTGAACACAGGGAAGGTGGTGCGAAAGCACTCAGGGACAGACCGAACTGTGTGAAGCCTGCGGCCTGCCACCGCAGTCATCCACGCACTGTGAGCGCCACAGGGAACCTTGCCCGCGTCTTCCTCGCCTACCCATGCCAAATGTCTCCTCCTGTCGAAGCCTGGCTCCTGGCTCCATAGTGACACAATGCTACAATGGTGTCCCTGCTGAAGATATTTACTGGCACTGTGGCCAACGTCTGCATGCCGATAGCTTGCTTCCAGCCCCACGCCACGAGATCTCAGCGCACTCCTAGATGCGGCCATGGCTGAGTCACTATGCCACACAGAATCAGAATCGCCTGAAGTCAAAGCAAAATAAGGAGCTCTCCCTCCCCAGATCCAGGGCAGCCTGTGAGAGCAGAGCACGGCCTCTGCTCCCTCCTGGAGACTCCTGCCTTGCATAGTCCCTTTACCACGCAGCTGTGTCTCATGATCTTAGCAAGATGACCTCAACCCTGATGTCTCCCCAACCTGATTGTGTGTTCATAATTTTTTTGTTAGTTTCATCCAAATGTTCAGGATCCAACAAATGTTATTTTCTAAACCCGCCCTCCTTTTCCTCTGCGTCTTTTTGAAGCACCGGGGGACTCTGGAGGAGGAGGTGGGGAGGACTAAGCAGGTGAGGGGGGACTGTAGAGGAGGTGGGGAGGACTAAGCAGGTGAGGGGGGACTGTGGAGGAAGAGGAGGCGGGGAGGACTAAGCAGGTGGGGAGGACTAAGCAGGTGAGGGGGGACTGTGGAGGAGGAGATAGGGAGGAAGGACTAAGCAGGTGAGGCGGGAGCATTTGCTGCCAGAGCTGTCGCTCAGATGGTTGCGGCTCCTGCCCAGGCTCCGCACTGCCTCCCTGTCTCCAGCTGGCCAGTCTCACAGTGAAAGAGTGAGTGGCCATTTGTCCTGAAGCCACACACAGGCCCTGGCAGAGAAGAGGTTTGGAGCTCGGGAAGGAACAGAACGCTTGAGCCTTCTGTGCTCTTGCCAGAAAGGGGGCATGTGCTGGAGCAGACGGAGGTGGAACCCCACACCAGGGCCTTAGCAGGAAGGACGAGAGAATGCACTTGCCTTAAAACTTGCTCTGGCGTGTGCTCTGTCCAGAGTTCTCTAGAAGAGAAGCTTGAGAAACTGCGGCCAATTGCAGCCCCCATGTGGTGGCTTACAATTAGCTGTGACTCCAGGGACCACCTTACACGTGGTGCACCTATATTCAGGCAGGCTCTCACATACACAGAAATAAAATCTTAAAAATAAAAACTAGATGTGGTGGTTCAGGTTTGTGACCCCGGTGCTAGGGAAGTAGAGAATGAAACCTGGTCTCTTACAAAAGCGAAAAACAAAACACACAAACCCACTGCAAAATTAGGTTCATTTAATGGAAAAATACATTCATTTAGTTGGCTGATTTCAAATGCAAGGAAAAGCAGCATCAAACACCTTTCACCACCACCCCTCCTGGCCCCTAGGGAAACCCCATCCCCACCCCCAAAATCCAGTCTCCCATTCTTAGGAAGCACCAGCACCTCTGTGGCCTGCCCTCTGAGTCCTCCACACGCTGGGGCTAATCTGAGTTCAGGGTGAGGCACACCCCCTGGAGCACCCAGTGTGAGATGTGTTTGGCTGTAAAGAGGTCAGCTTCGAACACTAAGCCAACTCCCATGGCATTTCTCCTCATGGAGGTGGTGTAGACAGGGGTCCGGAAGGTGTTCTGCAAGGGAGAGGCTGGTGACAGACCCTCGGGATTGGAGGCTCATGACCAGAGGGGGCTTAGCCTGAGCACTCTTTATATGCAGCAGCTGTGGCCTTGCATGTGAGTACTATGGAAGGCTGGAGAAGTCCACAGACAGCTCATCAAAGATGGACCCTGGCCAGGCAAAGTAGAAGGCACCTGCTGTCCACACTGAATGAAGCCACTTTCTAACCCAATTAGTGTGTCCAAAACCTCCTAGTTTGCCTGGGTCTCTGCCACAGGCTCTGAGCTTGGACTTGACCCCTGTGGATGGTAGATACCCACATGCATGTACACCAGTTTCCCCTGAACTGGCCCCATAGCTTAACCATGCCTCCAAGAGTTCCCCAGCTTAAAACTGTCACCTGTAGCTTCAGGCGGTGACCTTCGATGGGGATGATCTTCAGGATGGGCAGGTCCACAACCAGCACCTTGGGCTTGCTCTTGACAAGACATCCCCTGTCTATGTCCCAGTCAGCACCTTCCAGGTAGAGCCCAGAAACAAAGCACCCTGGGTGTGACAAGAGAGAATGCATCTGTGTCCTGCTGTGTGGCTGCTCCTCTCTGGTGTGCACAGAGGACGAGTGCAAAGACCACTGAACCCCAGAACCCTGCCCTGCTTCCCAAGTAAAAGAATAGACAGGAGACAAAAGGCTCCAAGGAAGTGGGGTCCACAAGGGCACCTCTTGTCCTGGACTCTGGCTTCAGGGCACACAGCTCAGAGCAAGCATACAGCGTCCTCTGAGCCAAAGAGGAATGTGAGCTCTGCCGTGCAGAAACCCCTATGCCAAGAGCACCAACACTTCCCCGTGGTCTAGTGGTTAGGATCGAGCGCTCTCACCAAAGGTAAAAGCTATCCACCTGCCCCCAACCAGAATGGTGGCTGGATGCTCCCCAGTAGGACCTGAGGCTCCCTGAGACTTGCTCATTAATCCACTCTCCTTACACAGCCATTAAAGGAGCTTCTGTTCTTTGCGCTCCTGTGGGCTCTCGCCAGGGAAACTGAGTTTTCTGCTAGAATGTGCATAGTCACGGTGCTCCTGGAGGGGCTGCAGTCAGCACGTTCTAACAGCCATGTCTCGTGGGCAGAGGATAGGGATGACTCCAGTCCAACACAAAGCTTAAAGCAGACCTTCTTAAAACAGTGAGTTTTTTTTCATGATTCTTTTTCCAATTATTCGCTTTCCATCCTGATCAAAAGTCCCCCCTCCCTCCTCTCCTCCTACTCCTACCTTTACAAATCCTTCCCTCCATTACCCAGTCTCCCTGGGAGAGCCAGAGAGGTCATTAACCTGGGCCCGTGGGAGTTCACAGAGACTGAACCACTCACCAAAGAGTATACAGGGGCTGGACCTAGGCTCCCCACACATTGGTAACAGATGTACAGTTTGGTGTCTGCAGCTGTCTCTGACTTTTACCTATCGTTGGATCCCTTTCCTCTAACGACTGCCTGGTTGGGCTTCAGGAGAGGATGTGCTTAAACAGATTGTGCAGTTCTCAGATGGGAACTTTGTAACTGATAGTGTCCTGTCACAATGTCAAAGGGTTGGGCATGTCTGACAGGCTCCAGGCCAGCTAGCCTATGTGCTCTCTGCCTCTCTGGCTCCCACACTCCTACCCCTTGGGGATCACAGGGAAGCCATTCAGAGATCTCTTTGAAAACTCACTTGACCCAGGAAGCCAACTAGCTGGGTGAACCTAGTCAGGCCTCCCTGCCATCCACCCACCCCATGACTGCTAGTCTCCCATGAGAAACTCTTGCTCTCAGAGACACCACAGAAATCACTGTAGGCAACAGCCCTGCTTGAGCAAGGCCTAATCCACATGGCACTTTGATTTGGGCATGATTCTGGGATGGAAGCTCCAAACGGAGAGCAAGATGCGCAGCATTTACTATACCTTGCCCTGCACGTTCATTTACTTCATCAGCGTCCTGGAACTTGGTCACTTGTGTAAACAAGGTGGACCGGTCCAGCGGCCAGCCATTCCTCCGGCATGTGGCCTGTACCAGAGCTGTGAGATAGGACTCTGGGATGTGCAGCCCTGAGAGCCACATCACACTGGGCTCGCTCTCTGTGACCTGGAAAGTAAGCGAGGTGTGGGGGGTTGGGCTGCGACACCAGGTTCAAAGCTGATAAAATACCTGATTTCTCACAGTGACAACTGTTGGTATTAGATCAGTTTGCTTCCTCCTGGGAAAACAGCCGACCACCAAACGCCAGGTGGACCAACAATTTAGGGAGATACCAAGGTCATTATAAAGTATTTGCCACACAAATGTGGGGAGCTGAATTTGCTCCTCAGAACCCACACTGAAAACATTCAGGTGTGGTTGCATAGCCTTGGAACCCCAGGGCTAAGGCAGCAGAGACAGATCTTTGGTGTGCCCTGACCAGCCAGCAAAATCAGTGAGCCCCGTGTCCTAATGAGAAACTCAGTCTCAACAGTCACGACTCATGAGGAATGACACTCAGGGTTCATGTATGGACTCTATACACATCTGCACACACCTGTAAAGGTACCAGGTCAAACCTCCTACCATTTTCACAAGTAGAGAGTTACAAAGCCCAGAAGCCTCCAAAGAAAAGACTTGACTGCACACAAACTTAAAGCCCTTCTATCAAAACACACACACACACACACACACACACACACACACACCATCATCATCATATCCAAATGGTTCCTGGCAGGGAAGAGTCTGTACATCACCAAAGGTTAGTGGGGAGATGGTTAAAGAGACACACAAGTCTGAGGACCTGGGTTTGGTGATCCCTAGAAACTATGTAATGCTGCGTGTGCTGGCAACCATCTGTAAAAATAGCGCCCCCTACAGTGAGATGGGAGACAGACAGGAGGATGGCCAGAAGCCTGCAGTGTGCATCAATGAACAGGGAACCCTGACTCAATTAAGGCAGAATGCAAGGACCAATTCTCAAAAGTCGTCTTCTGACCTCCATATATGAAACACACACACACACTCACACACACACACACACTCACACACACACTACATTTTTTTAAAAAAATCAATATAAAAAGATGGAATCTTTTCCAAAAGGAAACAGACACAAATGATGGTTCACAGAAAATACAAAATGTCTTTAAGCATATGAAACATCTTCCACCTTCATGAAAGAAATGCAGGGCAAACCAGTTAGATGTTCCATTAGCAAGCAAAGGCCCCAAACTCAGAGACCACAAAGATTTGAGGAAGAGAACAAGCATGATCCCCGAGTAATATGGCTTCGACTTTCCAGAGTACTCACAGACAAGACTAGCTCACACCTGTAATCGCAACACTTGGGAGACTGAGGCAGGATTGTTACCAGTTCAAGGCCAGCCTGGGCTACAGCGTTAGAGGCTATCTCACAATTAATTAAATCAAACGCACGTATGTTCTAGCCATCCACACAGACTGCATTCATGGATGGTGATCACTGCACCCTTTGTAGCACACAGATACATAGTCACCTGAATGGCCACCCGCAGGAGGAAGGAGAAAGACCTTAAAAAGAATGAGCTAGAACAAATGCCAAGACATACTCGGAAGAAATCACCACAGGAGCATAGCAAGTCAGACTCCCAAAGCCATACCGGCACAGACGTAGCCACTGAGGCTATTCCTAGTACACCCAGTACCCATTCACAGGGGTCAGCACTGGGAAAACGGGTGCAGGTAGGTGTCCAGAGACAGATCCCACAGGGGCCCCAGCACTCACCCACAGTGTGTACTGGCTGAACCGCCGCAGGAAGTAGATCATCCAGTTACCCAGAGTCTTCAGGGTGTCGGGGGCAAGCTTCCTCCAGATGTGAGGGATGTGCCCG